TTTGCTTTGCTTGACTCGGGCCCAAAAAAACTCGGACCTGTTTTGCTCGAGCCTAGCCCGAGCTTTGAGTTTCGGTTGGTTGACATGGCTATTTGGCAGTGATCCAGCGATGGTGGCACCACCCTTGCTGGTTTTTTCCTTTTTGTAAAATTGCAATCCCTCAATTATTGTTTTCACTAGCAAGTTAGTCCTCGGATGTTTTAAAAACAAATTAACCTTTCAATATAGTTACAAATCCATCGAAATTAATACGGTCCATAGTTTTGTTAAATTTTTAAGTATTAGTCTAATTTTTTATGTAAAACCTGACTTTATAAGGTTAGACATGTGAACATTACGTGATGATTTAACAAAATTTAGACAATTTTTCATTGAGAATTGATTATGTAATTAAAAGTTATAACATTATGTAATTTTTCTTTCTTTGGCTGTATTTTCTTGGATTTTCCCCTTTTTATATATTTATACATAATTATTTTAATCCCATTTTATTGGAAATGATTATCTAGTAAAGAAGATCCCCAAAATTTGACATAGGTTTTACCTTGGTCCCGATTCTTCAAAATGGAGCATTTACATCCTCCATAATAAAAAGACAGTTCTACAGATTTTTCATTATCTTCAATAAACAAAAAAATAAATAATAAAAAAACTCTTCTTCTTCTTCTTCTTCTTCTTCATCCCAATCCCACCCTATCTCACCTCCTTTCGAAAAGGCTAAAACTATTGCCAGTCACCGCCAATCATTTTAACGTAGGCTCGGAACATAAAAATATTTTATCTCAAAAAGGATACAACAACAAAAGAAAGAAGCCACCACATCTATTGAGACCACTTGGGTACTATCTAACCTAGTTGAAGTCACCTCAATGAAAATACAAAAGATTGATCGCAAGAAACGAAACGACTTTAAGACTCAAAAGAAAATGAGCAAAACAAAAAAAAGTACTTATATGTCAAATTAACACCCTCTTAGTTTATTTCTAGTTGCCATATGAGTTGAATTTCATCAATATCGACTTGAAGAGAGCTGGAATTACAACGAAATCTTCTCCTAAGGAATGACAATGAGGTGAAAATTGTCCAATGGGGACCCAAGTGCTACTAAAATGAAATATTGGGATCAAGATGCAAACACGAGTCAAAGCTTGACTCTACTGCTATTTTTACATTTTAGATGAAGTGGTTCAATTTGTTCTTCGGGGTTAAACAAGTCAAAATATACCAAAAAAGTTAAAAAAAAATAAAGTAAACTAATTTTATTCCCTTTTCCTTTCTTTTTTTTTTTAAAATTGTTTAGCACGAATTAAAATATCACCATTTTATGTCTCATTTACTTATTTATTTTTTAAAATACGATTTAAATTTAAAAATTAAGAATGATATAAATAAAAGAAAAATAAGAGTCGGGACGAAACCTATTCTCCGTCCCTGTCCATATTCCCTACAAAGTAAAACATTTTGCCATCCCTATTATTGTTCTGGAGATTTATTGGTGAAAAATGACCCTTGTTCTTGACTTCCTATAACCAAGGATAATACATACTCATAATTGTCTAAAAAATCACGCATCAATCCTAAATTTATAAAAAGAGAAAAGGGACCACTGAACGTTGATTCAAAATAAATAAATAATGTTATTTCACGTGGTTATTCACTATGTACCATTAAGAATGTTACAATCTTGTTTCCTTGTCCACTTCTTCCCCGATTAATAGAAGTTGGATCCATTGTATTCTTTTCATTACACCTTTTCTTTGCGCGTGTTGCCTTGTAAAAAAAAAAGTACTTTTGAAGAGAGACTAGTGGGTAAATATACTCTTTTCAACAAATTAAAAAAAAAAAAAATCCCAATTTTTCAGTCAAACCGATCAGTACAACTCTTATAACAGTATTACCTACTAATATTTAGACTTATCTTGCAGGAATACAAGTTCAATGATACATCAATACCTAAGTCGAAACTTGTCGTTTGGAGTTAAAAGAATTAGCCACGTCTTGTTTACACCTTCTTTTAGTAACTATCATCTTTGCAATTGTAACAAGAAGAGAATCAAACTGCTCTATCCTGTAAAGTGGGAGTCACGTCTGCCAACAACTCGTATCAGCTTATTGCAAAGGAAAATATAAATATTACATTCCATTACATTAATTTTTTCTCTCTCTTCATCTCAACCATACATTCATCAAATAAAATAATAATACACACAAATCAAAAACTTTTCAACCACACATCTCCCATCAATCACTATTCTAAAAATTATTTACCCCCCAAAAATTTAAATTAATGGGGGGCAAACAGGGTATTATTATTTAGCTATATAATAGCCCTTTCCAATTAGTTAAAATAAATGACTATATGAAGGATATGTTTCAATAGCTTGTATATCCTAAGTCCTCAACCTTCGCTTGTTCAAAATTGAATCTAACTCTAAACAAATTCACCAAATGAATCACCCAGTAACCAAATTTGGGACAAACTGAACTCGTTATGCTGATGTATTTTAGGTTCCCAAACATGAAATGTTTTGCCCCATTGTACTTGTACATGGGCTATTGCGTGCCAGTGAAACAACAAAATTAGCCAAATGCATTAAGAAATGATAGTGACATAGTTAAAAATAGAAAAGAAATGAAAAGATGACTAAAGAAAGAAGATCTAGTTTTGTTTGAGTAATTGAGTTTAGGCAAGGATGAATGAATCGAGATTATGAATTTCAATAGTGATGAGGAGTTAGAATATCACATATTGATCAATAAAGGGGATTGAACAAAAAATAAGACATCACTTGCTTAAATAGAACGTAATAATAATAGAATTTTTTCTAAGCATCATTAAGTAATATGACGAACAATCTAATACTCAAGTCACTCACTTTTCTTTCCTTGTCTTTTGGGGGCAGATGGGGTTTGTTGCAGAGGGTTTAGGAGGTGAAGAAGTTTCTTCAGGCTCTTCTATGACAGAAGTGGTTTCCATGTTCGGCTTAGGCTTCTTCTTTTTCTCTTCAGCAAGAGGTAGCGGCGATGGAGCAGCCTTTTCTGATGACTTCTCTTCAGATGGTGCAACATGAGTTACACTTTCAGCAGATGTTGATATGAGAGCAATTTTAGTGCCAGGGTCCATGTTGTCTCCCCCCTTAGCTACAAACTCATAAAGTTACGAAGGACACCATTTTAAAATATGGAAATAATAGGGAACTCAGAAAGAAGTAAACAGTATTAGTTATTATTGATGATATCTTTCCTCCTGGGTTATACCTGCTTCAGAACTATTGACATGAATGGTGACCTGATGGATGATAAACAACCCTAGTGGAAGCTTCAATCAAGATAATTGTAGGATTTATATGGTATAAATGATCAAAAATTCAAGTGGGTATAGAATTTGTTCCTATCCCACCCATGCATCCGTATCTCAGAGCAATAACATGCTTTTGCAATTTTGAGACTCGTGTCAAAAAAAGGTGGACAGAACATATACTGGTTTTCTACAATTAAGAATGATTACCTTATTTGTTCATCCTGAGCAATTGGCTCATGAACTTCTACCTTCTCACCTAGTTCTACTTGTACCCAAAACCGAAAAGAAAGGCATAAGCTTATTGTTAATGCAAAAAGGGATTAAGATTAGATATAAATATTTTTTGATAGGTAAGATTAGATAAATAGAGAAATACACACTCTTCAAGAAAGTTGCAAGTGTGCCGTCAGTTATAGATTCACCCATATGAGGAACGATAACATGAACAAGATCACCTTCTACACACGTACACGTCAGGGAAAAGTTGCACGGTAGACAAAGTATAATTAAAAAAAGAGAGAGAGAATTGAGTGTCTGGGAAGTGGTTATAAGCTCTAAGATGCTTTATTTTAGTTGTAAATACTATGTTTTAAGCACTGCAAAGTCCATGAGATAAAAAAACTACAATATACTTGCCACAAGTTCAGAAAGCACCCATAAATCAGATCAACGTCGTTAACTTTTATCAAATCTAGTAGATAATATCACTGATACCAAAATTAATCTAACCCCCACCTACCTTGCCCATACCCCAAATCGATTTGCAGCTCTCAAAAGTAAAACAAAATTCGAACATTGTGCGTCCACAAGTTCGTTTCAACGACATTGCACTCTAAATTTGATATTACTGTAAAAACAGGTCAACCCAATCCGTACCGGTTAACTCTAATGTTGTAAAGCCCTTGAAGCTTTTTGATCTCCCATAATGAATTGTCCCAAAAGATTGTATCAACATGAAAAACAGACACAATCAATCAAATACATACAGAATAAAATTAGTAATCAAAGGTATGTAGTAATTGATAGTAACCTGTTTGATGTAATTGAGGACACTCGTCGATTAATTTGTTTCCATCCAAATCAGTCACAAGGAAAACTGCAAAAACTAAAAAAGGAGGGTTCAAAAATGAATAGTGAAATTGGTATCCTCTCTTTTATAGGAGCTAGTTCCTGCCCGTGCAATGCACGGGCCAGGTGATTTCGATGGTAGTGTTAGTGTGTTAAATGGGTTATTTTTTGTGAAGTAGAAGAAGGCGCACAATATCGACTTCTATGTTCTTTATTTAAGATGCAAACCAAAAATAGAAAAAAGTAAACAGGCAAAATTATCCATGATATAGTTAAAAATGATGGTGCTAGTCCAAAAAACCCATAACTATTAATGATAGAACTTACCATTGTCGTTACTATTTCTTGAATGAATCCTAATGTCTGAAAGAAGAAATTCCTTCCCATTCTTCATCTAGATAGAACATAGAACAACTTATTAAGTTTTGAAATACGAAAAATGCATATTTTAATGTAAAACCTACTTTGTAAGAACAAGAATAATCTGTTATTCATATGAAATAACATTTAGTAAAATGGATGCAGATAAATGCAATTTGATGCATCCATGAAAGAAGCTATAGGTAACTATTATTCTAATGTGTGCATTAAAACACAGAATTCACAAACTGGAATGCACATCACCGCCAATAAGTGGCATTATATGTTAGGATGATTCACAAAAAACTTGAAAAGACGATAGATAATCATCTTACCATATCCATATGCTCTCATTGAACTTAAAATTAAAGAATCATATTACTACAACTCTTGTTGCAATTGTAGTTTAAATTGACTGACAATTCCTTTTTTGTTTAATAAAAGATAATTAGACCCTTCCATCGAAAATAATGTGTTTTCAATTCAAACACTGAAGTAATATTGGGGAAAGAAACCATATGAAATCTAAACAAAAGGATATTGAAAAGACAGAAATAAAATTAAAACGCATTCGTTGAATGTTGAAGAACTCTTTTTATTTTTAAATGTTTCATAACTCACGGTAGTAGTTAGAAAATCCTATTGAGTATTGACAAAAACAATATGTTCTTATTCGGATGTCTGTAGTAATTGAGGGAAAAAAATGTACGGATTTTGGGTGATGGGATATGAATAAAACAAATAGAACATTCAATCTTAAGCATACCTTAGATGTTAGGTCCAATTCAGTTCGTTTCATAGATGACAATGGTGTCGACCCTGCTCATCTAAATGGAAGTGACAATGTATTAGATAATCATACTTTTTGTTGCTGCAAATGTCGATAATTGTTTCACAGCCTGAAACCTATTGAGATGATTTTCAAAAAACCTGGAACTTCTCCCTGTTGATAACACAACCATATAAAAATCAGATCACAGACTAATACAACTATTTTGATCCACCTATGTCCATTAATTTTCATCAAAACCTCTGTATCATTTTCTAGATTTTAAATAATTGAAAAACATGTATAATAGAGTCACCATAGATACAAATGATCCTCAAAAATCAAGATTAAATCTGTTTAAGACGAAACATATAAGGGAAGTTAGCAGAATAACATAATCTGAAACTTAAAATGTAGTAGTAGATATGAACATTATAATCATTGTCAATTTTTTTTTTGCAGAAACAGTCTGCAAACTGAAAATTAAGTCTTTCACTATTATTTCTCCAATCCTTACTTAAATTATTAGTTTCTCCCAACACCATTAATCGAGATGTTTTCCTAATTGAAATTGATATTTACATTCTTGTTCTTTGCTACTCCATTAATTTAAATAAAAATCAACATTAGAACATATGGAAACTGCATGTCACACAATACTGACAATTAATTACACGATAAAATTACTTTGAGAAACATTAACAGTAAATGAATGAATTCGTAAAATTACATTAGCTACTAAATGCACAAAATTTAATCACACCTCTGTAAACTATAATCAAGAGGTAGAGGGTGAAAAATGGGCATAGTAGAGAGCCATTCCATTGGTACTGCAGTCGTATTATTTTCACATAACCAACTATGAAACCTTAATGACAAAAAAATATGCACCAGCACCACCGACAGTGTATTAAAAATAAGAAAATTTGAGATGCTCACGTGTCAAAAATCTCAAGAGTAATTGCTTGTCGAAGTTGAGAGAATATCATAGGAGCAAAAGTGAGAAAATCAGCTACGTCAACTTATATGGACAATTAGTCAACAGTCTACCTTCACAGCAAATACATTGCAAGAGGACACCTATTCTAGATATCTCCTTCGAGAAATATTGTTGGATTCATTTGTCTTGTTAAAAGAAAGACTGGTCGAAAGAGAGAGATTGTTGTCGCTCATGAAAGAGTTAAGAGGGCCAGGTTGGAAAATGAAAGTTCGAGACTGGAACCCTGTGAACATAAAGAAGAAAATTAGAGGAGCAAATTGAGTGCAAGTTGAACGAAGTTGAGGAATTGAAAGTAAAAAAAATTATAGATTGGAGGCTCAGGTTTTGGAACTCGAAGCTACATTCAAAGAGAAAGGAAGTCAATTTTCTGATGTGAGAAAACATTTCAAGGAAAATAAGTTCTATGTGTCTAGAATTGAAAACTTTGAGGCTCAGGTGAGCAATCTGCATCTCGAAATACTGGGAAGTCTAGATTTCTTCAAATTAGTTTGCATTTTGGCCGTTCTTTTCTATTTACTTTTGTCTTCGTTACAGACAAACCGTGTTTGTAATTCCCTTCATGCTAGTGAACAGAAAATAAATAGTGCACTTTAATGAAACAGATCTACCCCCTCCCCACATAAGTCTGCCTTCTTATTTGCTGTGTTCTAAAAGTACCTTTTTCCGTAATTGTCTAATTATGTGAACTTCTAATGAATTTGCTGAATCTGATTATACATTTTAAATCTAATCTGTTGCATTTTACCATCACCATATATTAAATTCTCATAATATTTTATTCTCATAATCAAGAAGTCTTAACGTAAGTACTTATAGGCATAATGACATCTCCAAGTAGAAGAAGGAATAAGTATTCATCTATATAACTCTTGGTTTATTAAGTCTAACACTAAGCCTAGTTACTAAGGAAAACCCAATTAAACTTGAATAGAAAACAAATCTTAAATTAAAGTAAAACTTGTGGATCAAAAGGTCCAAATCATAACAAATATTGAAATTACACAAGGTAGAATCATCAATTTAATACAATGAACTAAAACCGGTTCAATAGAAAATCACTAACAGGTTACAACTATTTCTCAAAAGCCATTGGCAACATGACAATTTTCATTCATAAACAACCATTTCAAATTTGAAAAGTGTCATTTCTATTCCAATTCAGATGCCTTAAGTGTACATAGTTATTAAATGAACAACAATTCCAAAACCAGACTCAGATCACTAATATCAAAATCCACTAAATTCGCAAATCACTAATTTGAAACATAAGTGCTTCAAAATAGACCAAAAACACAAAGATTCAACCTTTTGCGGCAAGAAGGGAAAGTGATTTTGGTAGCCCGTGGATGAACAGATGCCCTCTGGATCACGTATTTTGTAATCGTCCTCCACTTCTTGCAAACGCGCCTGCATGTAACCACATTTTGGAGCTGTGGCCATTGTTCCTAGCTTACCTCCAATCTCTGTATTATCTCCCCCGACAGCTCCGACAACATACCTGCCCACAAATCCAATTTACCAATGACGATGTTTTGTTGTTGCTCTTTATTACAATTATTTTCATTTTCCGCAGTTTCTATTTCTTCTTCGTTATTGCAATTAAAACTATTTTGGTTGGGGATTTGAATTCTTTAAAGAATTTGAATTAACCTCCAACCCCACCATAAGAAAAAAAATACACAAAAAAGGATGGATTACAGAAAAAGTTGAAGAAAAAAGACAAAATAATAAACTGAGAAGCCCAATAGAAGAAATTGTTTACCCGTCTTTGACTGGATTATATTCTCACTTCATACTGCAGTTTCCTTCTCAAGATCTCTCCTTCGACCTTCCGGGTTTCAAGATCTCAGATTTTTTAGAATAGGGTCTTCTTTCGTATGGAGAAATTAAAGCGAGAGAGAGCAAAAGCCACAAACCGATAGCTCACTAATTCCAAAATTTCTAAAACCCAGAAAAATAAAGGATTAAAAAACCTCAGCTTACAAAAATAAAACATTTGTTAAAATTTCTAAAACCCAGAATCAATAAAGGATTAAAAAACCTCATCTTTCAAAAATATATATGCATATATAAGCTTCCACAAACATGTAAATACAAATATATCTCTTTGGCGGAGACGAGAGTCATAAGGCAGGGCGAGGTTGACAGTAAGCTTGGAGGGGACAGTAAGCTTGGAACTGACAACATAAAAATGGTAAGAACGGGAAAAAATATACACGAGCAAGAAATTAAACAATGAATACACAACAAGAACATAAAAGGAACAAACTTTAGCTATTTCGAGTTCGATTTCTCAAACGATCGAACAAAAAAATGAAAAAAAAAAATAGCAGATTCAACAATAGAAGTGAAGAAATCGTTACAAATATAATTGGTAGAAGCTGTATATATATATTTTTTTAGTTTCTTGGTTTTAAGAGAAGTAGTGATAAGAAAGAAAAGCAATAAAGTAGGCTGAGAAGAAGAAGAAACCCATTTACCTACGAGGCCGAAATCGTACAGTATCGATGAGTTTTCCATAGCGAAGAAGATGGCGGCAGATTTCTGGAAAGGAAAGGGAAGATCGCAGAACGTAAATACAAGGGTTTACTTTCTTTCGTATGTTGGAGAAGGAGAAGAAGGAGAACGATGCGTTGTTGGGTGAGAAGAAAAGTAATAAAGTAGGGTGAGATTTTGTGAACAGGAGGAGAGAAGAGGTCGGTTACTGTAGCGAAACTGGGTAAGTTGAAAAGGGATCAATGTGAACACGAGGTACTAACCTCCATCTCCCCGTGCGTCGCGCACGAGGAGACTCACGGGGAGATTGTAAATTTATATTTTTCAAAACGACAAATTACATATATCATTACTCTATTATAACTATATATTTATATATAGAACTTAAAAAATGGAAATAAGATTTTATGTTGAAAATGTAACATATTGAATATATTGTAGGTGTAAATTTGGTAAATGAATTAAGAATATTTGGTAGGTGAAATGAGAATATTATTTAGCCGTTTGTACAATTAATAAGTTTATGTTCAAAATGTAATAAATTTAATGTATTGTATTTGTAAATTTGGTAAACGGG